AGAGAGAGAGAGAGAGAGAGAGAGAGAGAGAGAGAGAGAGAGAGAGAGGCTCAATATCAGGAAGAGAGGCAAGTATCTTATCACTGTGTCGATCATAACTTTACGGCAGGACAACCCATCCCTATCCGAGGAAGTAAACGAGTCCAAACCCACATCATTTGTTTCGCTATTATTGTCATCGTTGTTCGCCGTGACTGTAGGCCCAGCGGCTAGTCATGTACGGTGTTTGACTGTGGACGACTTTCGTTGTCACAAGCATCCCTGGGGTGCTACAAGGAACGAGGAAGGCGTTCATCTCGTGAATGATGAAAACCAAGAGAGTACAGTTAGGTGCTGGTCGTATTCTTTGAAAATGACCTTCCAACTGCCCGAACGATCGCCGGTTCGCGATACGAAACAGGGTAGACCAACGTCAGCGACAAGAGAGCACACCCCTGAAGCAGCGGGCCGAACGAAATCCAAAATACAGATATCATGGGGGGCGTATCGAAAAAAAAAAACTTTGAGAGCCCTCCGCCGCCCTCCTACGCCTACCCCACCCCCAGTTCCTATCCCCCCCCTTGAATTTTGCCTGAGTTTGCAAAAGAGTCCGCGCACACAGCGCACTGCACGCCGACAGAAGCACATGTCGCATCAAATGTCGGTGGAGTATCTCTGGCGTTAGAGATAGCCAGGGGCAGGAGTTCGAGAGGAAGAGGGTGGCATCCCCCAATGTTTTGCGACACCCATGCAAGAGGTTGTTGGTCTGGCGCTGCGTAACTGACTCCGTTTGTTGAAGTGTTGACGCTTCGGGCGGCGGGCGTTGCCCTCACTGACGGGTATAGTCAATATCGTGTCGGAACGACAGCGATGCAGGCACCGCTGCACTGCATATTTAATCTATTAGTGTTTGCACAGAATAGTCGACCGACACCGGAGACAAGATGGAGAAAAAACAGTCTTCAGAGGAAGAGGCTCAAAGAGGCAGTCTGTATCGACACTGACCAGGCGTGACAGAAGCAGAGAAAAAAGGGGAAAATGCAGACCAAGATTCAGCAACATCCGCAGCATAGATAATGGAGAATCTCGAACCAACGAAGGGGATCGCACAAACAGCTTTTTGACTTCCCCCCAACGCCACCTCCTCCCTGGATACGTGCAGAACACCAAGAGTTTGACTGTACCTGCCGCAAAGGCACCACCTTCTCTCTTTCCGAGTGATTATGTCGTCATCGAAGTGAGAGAGGCACATATGTTCAACAAGATGCGCCGCACCGCTTTTAGTAACGCTCATTTCACGGCAACCCTCGCTTTGCCTCGCTCCTTATTTTGATCATCGGGGAAACCCAAAGGCGATATTTGGCTTGTCTTCCGGGTTACGGTTAACAATTTCTTGTTGTGAAAGTCGAACCCTCAATATCCTTGATTCAACTTCTCTGAAGTGGCGTGTTCTACACCGAGTCATGCATAGTTTCCGCCTCGTGCAAGGTCTACAGAGGGTTAGGGTTAGGGTTAGGGTTAGGGTTAAGGACAAGCCGACTACAACATCACAGCCCGCCCCGCCTCCACCACTGATCATCGAAGCCGCGGGACAGAAATACGCCCAGACGACCGAGTTCCGGTACCTCGGTGGCCTCGTCAACGAACATGGCGACCTCACCCGAGAGATCAACAACAGGAGCAGAGGAGCGTGGGCGTGCCTCAGGCGACATGGCCGGGAGCTCTTCGACAGACCGCAAGCGCCATTCCGACTCAAGATCCGCCTGCTCCAGGCGGAGGCGATGGAGGCACTGCTGTAAGGCTGCATGACATGGTCACCACTCAGCGGCCACTATCAGACGCTGCGGTCGATACACCACCGACTGCTCCTTCGAGTTATCGGGTACAACACAACAAAGACACCTACCGGTAGTTCGCTTGCGCCCAGACGCTGAAGAGGGTCGAATGCCAGAGCGTTTAAGCCATGATCCGACAACGACGCCTACTGTTCGCGGGAGCATTGGCAAAGCAGCCGGACGGGCGACTCCCGAAACGACTGATGTTCGGCGAACTGGCAGGGGGGGAAAAGCAACTTAGGGGGGGACAGGAACAGAACTGGCCGAAGCGTGTGCTCGACGACCTGAAGGCATTCGGGGCCGACCACGGATCTACGAAAACCGATCCATGTTGTCTCGGAATCCCGGTACCGAAAGACACGGCACCGAAGTTATAGTGGACGGAAGCCACGAAGGTAGAGGGGGGAGTACCCTGGCATGCGGCGGCGCTGCAGGGAACTGAGAGGTTCATGACCTCCTGGCACGAGAAGGAAGAAGAGGCCAGCCGACAACGGGCGCTCAAACGAACACAAGCCACCACCAACAAATGGGGCGGGAGGGGGGCAGGACACGGACGAGACGGCAAGGGAAGAAAGCAAACGAGAAGAGACGGACCGAGTGGCGCGATACGTGCCGGAGTGAATTTCTTTTAGCCAAATACTCACCTCCCCCCCCGGTGTTTGTCATCGGGGTTGGGTTTTCGTCGCTTGGCAACGACGTTGTAAGACAAGGCAATTCACTTCGTGAACTCGGCAACCAGGTTGCCGTATATTTTTTTTCCTCTGTTTTTTTTTGGCGGTAACCATAATGGTGGTCGAGTAGACCATGTTGTGCGGGGTCGAGAACCCTCATCCCGCGCAAGGGGGATGATCGCGCCACGTTGTGTTAAAATGGTGAATCACCCTCGAGGCAGTTACACAGCAGTGCTTACAACTGTCTCTGGAAGTGAAAGCACCAGAAATAAATTAAGTCGTACGCAGCTGTCATCCGTACGCAAGGAAGTAAGCACAAGGTGCCGAACACCCTTAGCAGGATGCAGCGCACCCTTCATGCGACTCGCCGAATATCTCACGGCGCTTCGCGCTTGGTGATGTGAGAGCCTGGTCCGGTGAGAACCCGGCGTGCTCCGTCCCGGCTTTGTAGGGATGCGAGGTCAATGGTCTAACGACTATGTATGGCATGCACGACTATGAGTATGAGTACACCCCCAACGCTGCACCATTGCACCAACCCTCCACTAGTGATGACGTACCATTACAATGTATCGCTGGTTGGTGGCTATGTTTGCGTGTTTGCTTGTCGTTAGTGGTCTCTCCACCGTGTGCCTTTTCATGGCTTTTATTTCTCGTTATTTTCGGCCTGGTCCCTTTTTGTCCTCGCTCTTTTATTTCATTTTCTTTCAGAATGTGTCCTTTCATTTTCTTCTCTTTTTCTGTGCCAGATGGCCTTGTCTCTGCTTGCGTTGTGAAGTACCAAGATTGAACCGAGGGGGTGTACCTCATTCTCTCCGGCCCGTGATTGTGACTCCTAGTCTCTGTTGTTACCTCGCATAGCGCGCAGAGGGAGTGGAGGACTCCAGAATATGTCGTTGATTTCTATTGACTTGCGGACCGGGCCATTTTATTTGAGTGTACCTTTTTAGGGTAAGTTAGCCTGCGACCACGGGAATCGACCGCGTCGAGTGTTGGATCAGTACGGACATACGAAGGTACTGGGTAGCGAGAGATCGGAACGGTTTTAAATGTGAAGACAACAACAACAACAACAACAACAACAACAACAACAACAACAACATATAAAAATTGTGTGGATAAGACGGTCACCGCCTCATACCAGGCCCCACTGGTGCGCGTCAATTTCCGCCGCCGCAGGTGGCCTTTGCGTACGTGTGGATCCCGGCAACCGTCTTTCTTGACCGCCGTACTTGTACAGTAGTAGTAGCGTAGACTACACCCCATGGGGATTCGAACCCAAGACCTCTGCGACTAGCGGATTACGAGGATACCACTAGACCACCGGGGCGACCGGTTCTGGTTCTGCTGTACGCAACAACAGATGTGTGAAAAATATTCCTTCAGCAGTAGTCCCTGCTACCAAGTCGTACATACTCTACGTGAAAACAGCAGACCACCACAGAGCTTTCCGCGTTCAACAATCAACGTCTCATCAAGACGATCCCAACCGAGGAGATGTGTATTCATGTGGGGATCTGTCGTGCTGACTGCGGTGGGTACCGAACACGAACGCACATTACTACATGCATATGTGTCCTAGTGACGGTTAGATACCCTATGTCCCAATAACTCGCAGGCTACACAGCGAGTACGGCTGAAACGGCGTCACCTCAGCTCTCTTGTATCGTTCAATCCCTGGTGGGTCGCCATACCACACCCGCCCCAGAAAAGATCAAGCTCAAACTTGGATGTCAAGCTTAGATTCGAGAACTTCTCGAAGACGCCGAGCTATTGGATTGGCGTATCCCTACCGTAGCCGATCCCTGGCCTAAACGTGATGCATGCTCCGCTAAACTCCGTTGGAACATCGCCGATTC